AAACAAACATTTTATAGTCTCTCTCCTTGTCATATATTTTTAAGAAATCACACAACTAAAGCAAAAACAAAAACAAAAAATAACTCTCTTTACCCCACTTCTCCCTCAAGAGTTGTCCAAATTTATTCTCTCACTTCCTCACTTCCCATTTTCTTCTCAACACACTCCAATCATATTCCAATCATACTCCTACATACTCCAACCATATTCCAATCATATTCATAATCAATATTCCAGGGAGACTCTTACTAAGGTTATCAATGACCTACATTCAGTCAAGCTAATGGTCAACTCTCTATCCTCTTCTTACTTGACTTTTAACAGGAGCCAGTGCATTTGACTACTTCTTCCTTCTAGAATTCTACAACACCGCACTCATCTGGTTTTCCTACCTCTCTTCTTAGCTGATTCCTCCTTTTATGTCAGACTTTTGACTGTGGGAGTGTTCCAGGGCTTTGTCCTAGACTCTCTGCTCTACCTATACTTATGTTTTCAGTGACTTTATTCAGTTTCATCAGTATATGTGCAATCTACATATCGAAAACTCCAATTTGAAACTCCAGCTCATGAAGCAGGTTCACTGTGAACTGGTTACCAACTTTTCAGAGTACAGTGAGACCAAACACCCATAAAACAAGTCACATGGAGCAGATTTATTACTTACAGATAGGCAGCAAGGGACAAGAGAAGCCTAGTATTCACTGCAAGCCAGCCCCCTAAGGCTCAGGAAAGCTGACCAGGGAGGATGGAGTCTTGTCTTCATGTGCCCCGCTTGCACAGCAGCTGAGGGACCCCAGAAAGCAGCCCACCCTGAGTTTTATATTCCGGGATTACATGACATGCTGGGCTAAAACACTGAAGGACATCCTGTTTCAAGGAGGAGAAAGAAACAGAGCTTGGGCTGTTCTGGCCAGTTCCTCCTTTACTGCATTATGTCACATTTCTAGTATATTTTATAGTTATTCTTAAGAACTACAAGTGAGAAAAGGGGAGAACAGGTTGGCCCAAGCCACTCAGAGAACTGTCCTGCACATCTGTGCTAAAGACTAATATAACCAATTGCCTTCTTAATGTCCCTATTTAGATGCCTAATAATCTGGCCAATGCAGTGCTATTGACTCTGGCCACAAATTTGCTTCTCCATGAGCCTTTCCTTATCTTAGGAAATGGCACTGTCATCCACCCAGTTGCTCAAGTCAAAAACCTAGAAGAAAATCTTCATTCTTTCATTTTTTAACACTATCACTATTGGCTGGACTTCTAAAAGAATCTCAGTTTTAACCACTTCTCACATGTCCATTACTATAAGCCTAGTCTGAGTCACCATCATCTTTCATCTAAAGTCTAGATTCACCTAGTCTATATTCTGGACTGCTATAATAGCTTCCTGATTGATTTCTCAGTCTCTACTCTTAACTCCCAATGCCCATCCTTTCCACCCTCCAGACAATCAGAATTACCTTCCTACCTTTAGGTTATGTCACTCCCTTTCTTAAAATTGTCCAGTGGCTCCTCACATCAGCAATTGTCTTAGTCAGTTTGGCTGCTACAACAAAAATGCCATAGACTGGGTGCCTCAAACAACATTTATTTCTCACAGCTCTGGGTAATAAGGCTGGGAAGTCCAATAGCAAGGTGCTGGCAGATTCAGTGTCTGGTGAAGGCCCACTTCTTGGTTCATAGATAACTATCTTCTAACTGTCCTCACATGGCAGAAAGGTCAAGGGAGTTCTTTGGATTCTCTTTTACAAGGGTATTAATCCCATTCACATTCACGAGGGCTCCATCCTCATGTCCTAGTCACCTCC